CGGCGCCCCTCGCGCCAGCACCGGAGCCCGGGCCGCGTGTGCTGCTGCTGCTGCCGTCCCCTCCTGCCTCGGGGCACTGCCCTCCCAGTGCGCGCGTGTGGCTGCTACTCAACGCACGCAAGGGGCGGCTCGGCCAGCGGGCACCGCCCAGGCTGCTCTCAAGCCACGAGGCCCACCGGCGGCAGGGGACGCAGCTCCTTTATGAAAATGACAGCACCCCCGCGAGAAAGAACACTTGGGGCACCCCGTGGGCCGCCCTGCTGTGCCCTCTGAGCGCTAACGCCTGAGGAGAGCTTTCCTCCGTGAACAACACCCAGGTCTTCTCTCCAGTCCTCGGTAAGCCCACGAGGCAGGGAGCCCTCAGGCCCTGGGCTGGGCCTCGTCGTCAGTGACAGGCACCCGCACTGCAGACCCCCATGAGCCGCCCGCGTCCCGTGACACAGGCGGGCAAGCCAGCGGGCCTACGCTGCCTCAGTGCCGCCCAGCTGCCAACACACGCCACCAGACACGCACCGGCCACTCCCTGACGGAGACGCAGAGGGCAGGAGGGTGTTCAAGGAGCCCTGACCTGGTCCCTGCCGCTGTTCAGAAACTGGACCTTCCTGGGAGTCCAGTGGGCCTGAGCAAGAGGCACCAGATCTCCCCAGACAAGAGCCTCCAGCCTCCACGACTGGCTGTGCAGACCTCCGACGCAGCTGGGGCCAGCGTCCCGTGACCTCTCCGGCAGGCCCCCAGGCCTCCCCACGCACTCTGGGGCGGCGTCAGCGCTGGGCCTGGCACCCCTCACTCCAGTCCCCTATGTCTGTTCCTGCTGCTGCTCAGCTATGTCTGTTCATCTCCAGATCCCCGGAGCACCCCGAACCAAGCACTTCGGGGCCTCAGACATCTGCTAAGGGAGGGAGGAAAGGGGTTCACGCCTTCGGCCGCTCTGCCCCTTGTGAGTGCCTCACAGAATGGCGACTCTGGTGGCTTTACAAACAAACCTGCAAATTCCTTGAACCTGCAAATTCCTTGAACGCCTTCCTCCCAAAGCGATCGCGCCCCGCCTTGAACGCCAGAGGCAGTCGCATCTTCAACAACGGAATGGGTTAGACTTGACGCCAGCCCTCTGAGGCTGTCATGAAGAGGAGCGCCTGCTGTCTGTCCTGGAGGCGGGCCCTGCCCTGTGGGGAGATCCCCAAGCACCTGTGGGGGGGCCGCGGGCAATGGTCCCAGCAGCTTGCCACGAGGGCGTGCCCCCCGGAAGTGACTGAGCCCAGTCCAGCCTTGGGCAGACTGTAGCCCCAGGGGATGCTGGGCCAGAAGCCCCGCAAGCCGGCCAGACTCCAGCCCCAGGGGGGAGTGGGGGCTCCTTGCCAGCTACCGTGGCACCTTGGTGGGGTGGGGGGTGGGGGTGCTGCGTCACAAGTGACTACAGAGACTCTTAATGGCAAAGCAAATGATCATGCTGTGCTTGTAATAAAAATTTCAAACTTGGCAGTCTTCTAAAGAGTACCACCATAAACTGGTTAATTGCGACACGAGTTGAAGTATTCCATGGATGAGACTACCTTGCAATCTAACAACCAGATTCAGTAAATGCTGGCACGTGACATGGAATAAGATGATAACACAATCCTGTCTGGAGATTGGTCTCTGTGTTTAAAAATTACACATTACATGTACTTACCTTGTGATTATCGTGGGTTCTTTATGATGTATATATTCATAATGTCCTGATTTTTCACTTTAAAATCGCTAGCAGCTGTGCTTACGGGTGGCTTACGGCTGACGTAAGCTAACAGAGTAAGTGGCACGTAGTGGGTGCTCAGAAAGGCAAGCTGGATGTGTTTAGACACTGACCCTGCCTCCTGGACAGCAGTTCTAGAAAGGAATTCCAGGGTACGGTGAGCCTGAAAACTCAGTGATGTGAAAGGCAGCAGTCAATTTTCACAGGAAACAGGCTACTAAGTATAGGAAATCACTTCAGTGTTGTATTCTCAGGACACTTTCTCTTTGAGATGAAGTATTTTGAGTGATTTGTTATAAATTTATAATGACAGTTGTGAACACTTCTTTGTTTTTTGGCACAAGAACAGAGTCTGTTGATTGCCTTGGTGCTCAAAATAGTTTCTAAGTGTCCTCATAATAGCGTGTCACCTGTAAACAGGTTTCAAACCGATGCAAATTAACAAATGGTGAACAGATGGACAAGAACTGACTTTCGTCAAGAGAGAGTTAGCAACAAACACTGTTGGCTCCGGGCTTATGGAGCCATTAGAAAGTCTTTCACTTCTCGCCAAACACCTTGCCTCAGTAGACACTCCATGCAGGAAATGACAAGTTACAAGGCCACTAGACTTCTGAGGGCTGGACACTGAGACCTGCACGATCCCCGCAGCGCCTGAGAACCCCCAGGGCTGTGTTCCAGAGGCGCTACCTGCCAAACGCTGAGCTAATCTCTGAAAAACATGGCGCCCTCGCTGTGGCCAGCTGGCGTGGAGCACCCCAAGGTGGGAGCCACTGCGCCTGTGAGAAAACCTGAGGACCACTGAACCGCTGCGGGAAGAACGGCCACCCATGAGGTGAAGGACCCGAGAGTCACCGCTCTCCTCCACGCCCACCCCGGCGTCTCCCAGGACCTCGTCCAGCCACCCAGCGCGGCGGCCGCCCACACCACCTCTCTCAGCCTCTGCTCCCCTCCGGGGCTGAGTAACAGACGCCACGCGCTGCTGGCCGGCCGGCTGGCCGCTCTGCCTTCTCCCCGCACACAGAGAGCCTCAGGAAGATGGGCCCGCGGCTGTCTCGGTCGAGGCTGGCTCTCCAGAGGCTAGGGCAGAGTTCGGCAGGTAGTAGGCACAGGCAGTATTTGCTAATCAAACACAAAATAAATGAGCTCTGAGCAAGGGCAAACATTTCAGTCTTGTCTGCAAATGAGCATCTGGACTGGAAATTTTAAATGAAGTTTGTCACTGAGGCTGCGACAGAGAGCGAACACGCGGGAGGGAGGAGAGAGGGGCAGAGGCAGCCTTCTGGGCGTCCAGCAAAGCCAAGTGTCCACACTTGACTCCACACCGCGGAGCAAGCCCTGGCCCTCACCGGCCGAGGTTTCCCGGCAGGAAACGAGCGGCCCGCGGCGCCCACGGGACAAAACCACGCAGCGGCTGCCACAGCCCCACCGGAGGCCCCGCCGGGCGTCGTGGCATGTGAGCGGCAGCTGGCTCAGAGGCTCACAGAAGTGGGGACGCTCAGCGTGGGAGGGCCCCTGCGTGGACGGGGCCCCGGGAGTGCTGGCTACGCGGCGCGACTACGCAGAGGCACACACGCTGCGAGCGGGCGGCCGGGGGCCCTCGGGTGTCTGCTAGCCCTCCTCGGGGCGGACGCCTGTCACCAGGTACGCGGGAGCGGGGCGGAGGGCGCGGCTCACTCCCCCGCGTGGCCAGGCCGCCCGGCCCCGGCCGGCAGCCGCCCACTCCCTTATAAACTGAGGACAGCTGTTCTCATGTTCTGAAGAGTGGGGGGAGGTGTTGAGGAGCAAAGAACGAGCTGTGAGGTGCAGTCTAGGCAGGAAAGTCACCCACAAAATGTGGGAACCGTGAGCTGCAGCAACGGCTTCAGGAGGAGCTACAGAAAACTGCTGCCTGCAAGCCGCTGCTCACCTAAAGATCCCGCGTTTAAAGACAGCCCCGGTATCCTGAGAACAACCTCCCATTGGCCAAAAGAAGCCGAGAGCAGAGTCCCACCGGGACGAGCATGCCCCCCAAGCTACTCACTGCGGCGGCAGGACCAGAGTGGTGGGCTGGGCCTTGGGCCTGCGCTTGGCAGATACTCCCATCTGGTTGGCGGAGCGCTTCAGGGACTGTTGGTTCAGAAGGCCGGACGCCAGGCCTGCGTGGTACTGCAGCTGCAGAGAAAATGAGGGGAGAAGGTGACTCCGACGCACGTGCAAGGCCCGGTACCCCTTCCCTCAAGCATCCTGACGCGCCTCAGATAAACTGCCAGGTTTGCCCAGGAGTGTACCCCGAGGGCAGGGCATGGGAAGGGACGCGCGAGGTGCCGCCTCCGGGCCCAGGCCTGAAAGGGCTGCTGGTGGCGTGGAGCCCTGACGGGAGGGATCAAGCTGGCGGGCCCTTGCCTGAGTAGCAGCATTTGAGAAGTGCTCCTTTTCGACTTCACGTCTCACTACGAGTCACGCACGCTCCAGAAATGGTCTCACGGCTCCGACACGCGCCAGACAACCGCTCCACTTCCGGGGGCGGCTGCCACCTGTCACCCTGTGGTCTCGGGGGTGCCCGGCTGGCCCGCAGGGCCCCCGGCCGAGGGGGAGCACGCCAGCGCCTCCAGAGCCACCGCCAGTGTCCACGTGCAGATACAAACATGAACCCATCCCACGACAGGGCGGACAAAGGGGCCTCGCCTGGCCGGGAATGGGGTGGAACGGCTGTTCCCGCCACGCAAGCTCAGCTGAAATGAAATGACAGGGCAGGGGGAGCAGCTGGGGGGGAGCGGCTGGGGG